ACCAATACAGTACTTTTAGTAGTGCTTTTCTAAAAGACCTTTTCATTGTGATACCCAAGTCTACCGCCTGACTTTTTGATACCCAATTCCCCTTTCCAACACCACACATCATACACAATGGCCGAAGAACAGAAGCCCGTCGAGGTCCCCAAGGAGACTGTCCCTGCCACCACCACGGCCGAGGCCCCCGCCGCCGAGACGAAGCCCGTTGAGACGGAGACTCCCGCCGCCGCCCCTGTTGCCGCCGAGACTGCCACCGAGACCCCGGCTACCACCACCGCCACCGAGACACCTGCTGAGGCCGCTGCCACTGAGGCTGCTGCCCCCGTTGAGGAGGCCAAGAAGGAGGTTGTCCCCGTCGAGGAGGGCACCCTCGAGCACAAGGGCATTAACTTCCCCAAGTAAGTACAGCGCGCTTCAAGATCATTGTGTCGCATGTGCTAACGGCTATTCCCCAGGAACTTCATCTACTCCAAGGAGTTCTTCTGGTTCGGATCCGATGCTGTCGAGTCCAAGAACCTCTCCTCTTACCTGAAGAGCGAGAAGTCTACCGAGACTGCCCACCACAACGCCGCCTGGGCTTCCCACACCGGCAAGGGTCTCCTCTTCTTCGGTGACAAGACCGCTCCCCAGGGTGTCATCAACTTGGTATGTTTCACACTATGACTTGCACCAATAATATCATGCTAACGATTATTCTCTAGGCCGATGCCTCTGAGCCTGCTGCCGATGGCGCTAACAAGTTCCATTTCACCGCCAAGGGCCACAAGCACACCTTCAAGGCTGCCAACGCCGAGGACCGCGACAACTGGATCTCCCAGCTGAAGCTCAAGGTCGCCGAGGCCAAGGAGCTCGCTTCCACCGTTACCGAGACTGAGGCCTACAAGACTGCACTGGAGGCTTTCAAGCCCGCCAAGAAGGAGGAGAAGAAGGAGGAGAAGGCTGTCGAGGCCCCCGCTACTGAGGCCGTCACCGCCACCGAGACCCCTGCTGCTGAGACCGCCGCTGTCCCCGCCACTGAGGAGGCCGTTGCTGAGACCCCCAAGGAGGAGGAGGTCAAGAAGGAGGAGCCCAAGCGTCGCTCTGCCAGCCGCAAGCGTGCCTCCATCTTCGGCAGCCTGCTCGGCAAGAAGGAGGAGTCTAAGAAGGAGGAGAAGGAGGAGACTCCTGTTGTCCCCGCTGTCGCCGAGACTCCCAAGGAGGAGACCCCCGCTGTCCCTGCTGCCACCGAGACCCCCGTCGCTGAGGTCCCCGCTGTCGAGGCCCCCGTCACCCCCGCTGCTGAGACTCCTGTCGCCGCTGCCACTGAGACCGCTGCTGAGGACAAGCCCGTCGAGGCCGCCAAGGAGGAGAAGAAGCCCCTTCCCACCAAGCGCAACAGCATCTTCGGTGTCTTCGGCAAGAAGGAGAAGAAGGCTGCCGCCGCTGTTGAGGCTGAGACTCCCGCCCCGGCCAAGGAGACCGAGGTCACTCCCGCTGCTGAGTCCGCCCCCGTCATTCCTCCCGTTGAGGCCACCACTCCCCTCGCTGTTGACGTTGCCAACCCTGGCACCGTTCCCGTCGAGAACAAGGAGGTCACCCCCGCCACCAACGGTGAGCCCCGCCCTGACCTCAAGGAGAAGCGCAAGTCTTCCCTTCCCTTCGGCTTCGGCAAGCGTGACAAGTCCCCTGCCAAGTCCCCTGCCCACTCCGACAATGAGGAGGCTGAGAAGCAGGAGAAGACCAGCGCCTTCTCCAAGCTCCGTGCTACCATCAAGGGCCGTGGCAAGACTGAGAAGCCTGCCGACAAGCTCGAGAAGACTGAGGAGAAGCCCGAGGAGACCCCTGCTGTCGCCACCGAGACTCCTGCTGCCGAGACCTCCAAGGCCACTGAGGAGCCCGAGAACAAGCCCGAGAACGTCGCTTCTTCCACTCCCGCCCCCGTCACCGCCGCCGCATAGAATGCGAGATGGGGTTCGCTGTCTCTTCGTCGCAAGAGCCAGCGTCGGTCGTCATGATCAACTGAATGAAGCAAAAAACGTATAACAAAACGCCACAAAAAAAGTGCAATAGCATCGGATCGAGATTCGGAGGAAGAGCAACATCACGTGACAACTCATTTCACTTGGATGGGTTTGTCTGGAATCGGACCTGCATTTCAAGATACCCCGTCAAGACTGGTTCTACCTGATACCCTTTCCTATTTCCCTCTTTACACAGCACACGCATCGGAAGGCGAAAACTGGCGGGAGGTGATTCCGTTCCACTTTCAGTCGTTTCGAAGTCATTTCTGCTCCTTGTTTTCTTGTTTTGATTTTGTTTTCCACAAGTATCCTGCTTTGATGCTTTGATACCCAGTTATACCCGTCGCTCCAGACAAGAACACGAGAAGAAAATACCCACGACAAAAAATTCGAAGCGCCTTGGTCCGACAAGATGGACGGACCTCTTGTGTGTGTTGGTTCATATCGGGCTAGGGTCAGGAATCGTCAGATTTGAGTTTGGAGATGCTGTTGGTGGAAAAAGACTGCATGGAACCGTCTGTGCTGGCCACTAGGGCCGGTGTCAGCTTGTTCGCATTCACTTAATACTTAATAGAAGCTCGTTGCGTGTCGTCTAGAATCGTGTGTGCGTTCCCCCTTGATCTCTTGCGCCATGTGACACTTGTGACATGTGAGTCAATTTCCTGTGGCTCGGTCTTGTTCGCTCTGCCGTGTACACGTAAGTCATGTCAGTCAGGCCCGTCCGCGTCCTCGACGTTTTGACGTATAAGTCTAGTTTCGATAACGGTCAGTCAGTTATTGTGTCTAAGCATGACAGGTCCAAGCTCACTTACTTCAACTCCGTACCCCATCCTTTTTCACCACGCGAGCTCCGTCCGGATCGAGAGACTGTCGACTTCGTGTTCCAGAAAGGGTCAGTCAACAAGCGTGAAACGGATGCAACGCTACGCGATTTCATGGCCGACTCGTCGTCCATGTACCCCAGGTTTCTGATTTGCGTCAGATGAAGCTGAAATGGTAAGGCAGATTGTCAGATTGAGATTGAGATTGAATCGAGAGGTGCCTTGCGTTTGTCTGTCGCTTGGCATCACATTTGGGCTGGGTTACATCCGCTCTTGAAGACCGCAGGAGTCAGGACGCAGACCCAGGCAAGGAAGGGGTGAGATGCGATCGGATGCAAAGGAGGAGGAAGAACTTCATGTCAGTGCGGAAAGTGACGGCAAAGGCGAAGTGTGTGCCTCTCTTCGTCTTCGTCTGGCCTCGTGTTCGAAGCACGAACATAGGTCTCCTCCTTTGAGGGGGAAGCGAACGGATGGACGGACGGATGGATCTCTTTCGCAGTAGCCGCATGTGCCTCAGGTTCGTCTCGCCTCTTCCGTGTGTGCGCGTGTGTTTAGGTGAGGTCTGTATGTCACTTTGGCCGCTCTTCGTATATGCGAAAGGAGGGGTACCGGGGCTGTCGTTTTGGAAGGTGATGTTCATGTGAGGGTGGATGTGTAAGGTCACGGGTGGAGTACGTGTTTGACTGATGCGCACCCAGCGTTGCGACAGGGAAAAGGCGTAGGGCCATCAGTACTTTATGGGCTTGGACGATTTAAGCTTCTTCGGTACAGCGTTCTAGTCCTCAGGATCTTGCAATGTTCCGTGTGAGAGGTCTCGGAGATTTGTACCTGGAGGTGGCTGAGTTGAGAGTCCATGGCGTCGTGTCCATTCATGAGATTGAGGTCCTAGAACTGCTTCCTCTCGTGTATGAGGACAACCCCTTGGAGTCGAGACGAGATATTTTGGGGGAGCGCGGAAGAGCTTTGATATCGGGCTGGCTATTGACGAGCTCGGAGACCTGATAGGGCGGATGAACGGTGGGCTTGGTTGCCGCTCCATGGTCATCGTGTGTGTCTTGCGAGTTCTCACAGAAGAGAGAAAGTGCTGTGATCAAGTTCATCTCGATATTTGTCTTTCCGAGACGGGTTTACGTAAATGTTTTAACTTGAGCCATTTGCTATGACCAGAGCCCAGGAGACCGTTTTTGGGGGTTCTAAAACGGTACGGTATGTACGGTAATGAGCATGGTCCAAAGTAAAGATGTTATCAAAGCTTCCTAAACAAAAGAACGAGTTTTCTTCCCCTGTCTGCCTAGTCTGTCTGTCTCTTGGGATGATGTTGGACAGGCTCAAATGCCTTGACCAATCAACGTCAGTCTAAAGAATTCTCTTTCGAAATCTGGGAATGATCTCGTGGATCGTGAGATAATGACTTGCATACTTAGATTAAGGAAATGTTACGACGGGCCGGGATGCCGAGGGTTGAAGTTGGATGTAAAGTCGGCGCGAATCTCTGTTATCCACATTGCTAGGGTGGGTCGATATCCGCACATACAGGTCTAGACTCTATTCAAGACTTGATAGTGGTGGAGAAGGAGCTGTGGGCTTTTTTTCTTTCCCACTTTATCTTGAACCTTTAATCCTGCTTGTGGGTGTGGATAATGCGAGTAAGTGTTTTCCTGTGGTGGAGAAGGTGATGATGTATTCAGAGGAGACAACGGAAGCAGGTCCAATTTTGAGGTGTTTGAGAGATCTTGAGAATGGAAGCATCAAGATCATGGTCGATATACAGTGTGAGCAAAGTGACAGCAAGTATCCGTAACGTTAGGAAAGGAATAGCAATATTCAGCCTTCGTTATGGGAGCTCGGAAGCGCGCACTCGCCTTAGGCCATGCTGTGAGGCCGATAATTAGGTGTAGAGGGGAAGCAACGCAGCAGAAATTGCAGCAAATGGCAATAAGGCAGAGGCATGCTGGAACCTTCGATGCTTTAGCGAAGCTAAGCATGGTCAGGAACGAGGGCTGTCAACCATTCTGGCTCGCCACTTTCCCCTCAGCCAACGACAGGAGCGAACAATTTTAGAATTGTATCTAAACACCTAAGAACTTCGCAAGGGATGTTGGAATTTCCTCTAGAACCACCGATGTATTTCCTGCGTGTGTTCGGTGAAGAAGGCGCTTATTGCTTCACTCCAGTTTCAACTTCCTTTGGACGTACCTATCCGTCTGTAAGTAAAATCTTGGCCCTCTCCTAAGCTGGAGGAGAGCACCTCAAGTTGATCCTCTGATTATTTTCCTCAGCATGGAAAACGTGTCACGTGTCTGCTGATGCTCATAGCCTGCCCATAGGTCTGACCTCCCACAGCTAAGGCAAGTCATTAGTGCTGCATGAGACGGTGCTGGTGTAGTCCTGGTCAAGGGCAGCCGGAATTCTCGATGTTGAAGGTATAAGACAATACCAGGTAATGACGGACGACTAGAGACTTTCGCCTCGTTCAGCACTGGTCGTAGCCTGTCTCTAAGCTTGTACGAATACGTCGAAGGTGGCGAAGAGGCTGGCTGTATACTACCTTCACTTGGGCACATGAATACAAAGAGCAACAGGAAATAAGCACCGCAGAAGGACTCATACACAATGTTGGATGGACCGATCTAGTGAATACTTCAGAATAAACGACGCCGCAAAGATGATTACTGCTATAGGGACATTTGTGACCGTTTGAGACAACTTAAATACTGAATCCTTTGTATTAATCTGGGGAAAAAACATGATGTTCAAGATGAGACGAAATTCCTATAAGTTACGGTTCAACATGAGCCCATGAAGAAAAGCTTGACCAGATACAATAGAAACCTTCACTTTTATGAGAAGAACATTGCGAATTCAGATGCTATGAGGCTGTTATAAGGGACTCTTGGCTCAAATATATACGTAAGGCAATCTTAGACTTGTAGCTCTGAGGAATAAAGCCAGAAGAGGCAATGAATGGACTTTGACGGTACTTGTGTTCTGGGGCTCTCGAATGATCAAAAAGCAAGTGCGTACATACGAAATTACTGGAAAAGCGGGAAGTCAGATGGTCTATCATATCAAGCGCCTCCTTATGTCCAATCCTTGGTCTTCGCTTCATTTGAAGTTAGATAAATCCTCGGAGGGCGGCATGCATGTTTCTGAAGCACTCGACGCAGTATAAATGATTGGAAGAGAGTAAGTTGAAATCTGTGCTCTCGTCAATTGAATTTGGAGCCCCTGGCTTCGAGGGAGACCCTTGGACAATCGAGAGCGCTCGTAGTCGTCTTCAAACGAGTTCACTGGCCAAGACAGGCAAGATTCTCTTAACAGGCATTTACTTGATCAAGGAGCTCAACTCGTTGAAGAACCTCAGAACTTGAGTGACTATTTATTTCAATGAAGAGTTGGTGGCTTATCAAAGTGCTTATTGATACTCAATTTATCCTCTTATCCCCCTGAACTTGGCTTTACTGCTCGAACCAGAAGCTGATTGGGATTGTATCTCTGTGGCTTTCGTAAGAAGTAAAATCCAGCAACACTCTTCTCTATTTGTGAGCCTTGAAGCCGCGATGGAACTTGAATGGTCATAGCTTCCGATCGATCTATGTTCCAGCGAAACAGCAGCAAAGCTAGAGCAGCCTTCATGGTCTTATGTCAAGCTGCATGAACTAGAGCCTACTCAAGACTACCATAAAGACGAGAGGAATCAAGGCACATAGAAGAGGCTGTTAGACTCAAAAACATAGTCGTTCACTCAATCTCAAATTCCATTTGATATTGCATCTAAGGGTCTCGGCTCGATCACATGGTGACAAATACCAAATGAACGTCAACTCACTTTATTCATGTTGAGATATTTCAGAGAAGTAAGAAAAGGTCGAGAGAAGCAACAAGAGCGACCAAGACATCTTAAAGCAATAGCATACAGCCCTCTGTAGAATTACTGCTAAAGTGGTTCCAATGTACTCCTTCACGAACGGCTGACTACAGTCGCTGTTAAAGTAGGCGTCCTTGAGGTGAAGTTGACCAATCCGAAAGTCGATGCTTCCGTACAGTGCAGAAACTGTGCGGGAACGGTCCGCATTCCCACTTTAAAATTTCCATGCCAGGCGCAACTGTAGGAAAGCCGGCGGACAAAGTTTGGGATCTCTTCCATTTGGAAACTGCAAAATCAACCATGGATATTCTCAAAGTGTTGTCGCGCGGCATAAAACAGCCTGCTAAGGGTGCCAAGAACGCGAACAAAGGAGCGGCCAACCTGCCATCCGCCGGCAACCGAACGAACCCCCAACTTTTCCATGACGAGGTGTCTTCAGCGCGGGGCAATAAGAGGAAGCGAGGCAAAGAAGAGATCGAAGAGAAGGAAGAGGAACAACTGCCCGAGGTCGATTTCTTCGCGCCCCCCAAGTCCGAAACCCCTAAAGAATCCGAAAATGTCAAACAGCCCGCTGCGAAAGCCAAAAAGGCCGACAAGGCGTCTTCTGTAAAGGCGACTCTGCTCCCCGAGGACGAGTGCCGACAGATCCTTCGCTCCCACCGACTGAAGCTTACGCTCCTCTCCGAGCGCCACAAGAAGGCCTCCAAGGTCACCAAGAGCAAGAAGAAGAAGGTCGCTGTCGAGGTTGAGAAGGAGACGAACCAGCTGCACCCGCAGCCCTTGACCTCTTTCCGCGAGCTTCGGACGAACTACAACATTGCGCCGCTGCTGGCGGACAACCTCGCGCATCAGGGATTCAAGGTGCCGACCGAGGTGCAGCTGGGCGCCTTGCCTCTGCTGCTGAAGCCAGAACTGGCACTGAAAGAAGTGCCGAATAATGAGGAGCTTGGAGATGTCTCAAAGGGTGTGGATTTCCTTGCCGTTGCGCCGACAGGCAGTGGAAAGACGATCAGCTTCCTGATCCCCGCGATCAACTCCATCATGCATAAGAGAGGGTCCAGCGAGGAAAAGGATAAGCATGATCTGTCTGCGATCATCATTGCGCCGACAAGGGAGCTAGTTTTCCAGATTGTGAACGAGGGACGCAAGCTGGCCTTGAACTCTGGCATCAAGATAGCCGGCATGAAGAAGGGCATGCGCTTCGCAGTTGCGGAAGAAGATAGGGCCGAGAGCGAGGATGAGGACGAGGACAAGGACGAGGAAGAGGAAGAGAGCGGGAAGTCAGAAGACGATGAGGATGAGGACGAGGACAGCGAGACCGAGCAGGTCAAGTCAAAGTCTGTCGTAAAGGCTGACATCCTCGTCACAACACCCGCACTATTCTACAACTTCCTTACGGCGTCGTCAAAGAAGGATCGCAAAGTTCCGACTGTCACATCATTGATTCTTGACGAGGCGGATGTGTTGTTGGACCCCCTATTCCGCGAACAGACCATGGCGATCTGGTCTGCTTGTCCTAACCCGGAGCTGAGAACTACGTTCTGGTCTGCGACTTTCGGATCAAACATTGAGACTTTGGTGACTGAGGCACAGTTGGCGAGACCAGCATCCAAACCGTTGATTCGTTTGGTAGTCGGTCTGAAGGACACGGCCGTCCCCAACGTTACACACAAGTTGATCTACACCGCAACTGAGAAGGGAAAGCTATTGGGTCTCCGCCAGCTCCTTCATCCCACAGCAGGAGACGACTCGGGACCACCTCTCCGGCCTCCGTTCCTGGTCTTCACCCAGACCATTGAGCGCGCCACGGCCCTGGAAGAGGAGCTCAAATACGACATCCCCCTCGCCGCCGGCGGTCCCACCAGAATCGCTGCCCTGCACAGCGGCCTCGCCGACAAGGCTCGCGCGAACATCATGCGCCGCTTCCGCGCCGGCGAGATCTGGATCCTCATCACGACGGACGTGCTCGCGCGCGGCGTGGACTTTGCTGGCGTCAACGGCGTCGTAAACTACGACGTGCCCGGCTCGAGCGCCGCGTACGTCCACCGCGCGGGACGAACCGGCCGCGCGGGCCGCGAGGGCGGCGTCGCCGTTACGTTTTACACGACGGACGATATTCCCTTTGTCAAGACGGTCGCCAACGTCATCGCCGCGAGCGAGAGGCAGGCGGGCAAGAAGGGCGAGGAGGCGAACGTGCAAAAGTGGCTGCTCGACGCGCTGCCGAATGTGAGCAAGGAGGACAAGAAGAAGATTCGGGAAAAGGGCGTCGAGGCGAGGCGGAGCCACGGGGCGGCCATGATTTCGTCAAAGAGTAAGTGGGAGAGGCGCAAGGATGCGAATAGGGAGGGGGCTACGGCCGCGAATAAGATTCGGATTAAGAATGCAAGGAGGGTGGGTGATGACGAGGCTGGCGCCGAATGGGGCGGTATCGATGATTGAGGGAGGAGGTTTCCGTCTTCAAGAAGGCGCTGAAAATAAAAGCGTTTTTCTTCTTGCATTTGGATAGCGACTGGTTCGTACTGCTGTGTATTGCCGTTGATGTGGACTGGCAGCTGGATGGCTCTATGTAGGCCATCTCATCTCAGAATGATCCCAGCCGCTTGACGTGGAACAAATCTGAATCGAGGCGTGAGGCCGCGAAAGTGTCGTTTGAAGGCAAGCTAGGAGGTCATCAGTTGAAGACCTTGCGGTCCGTTTTCAGGTGAACGTGAGAAATGCGTCAGGTCGTTCTTTTGCTATCCCGTGAATATACACACACTTCCGAAAAGGGGTTGGTTTGCTTGGGAGAGTACGTGAAGTGAGGAGGAAACAAACACTTCTCGTCGATTGGACAGAATGCATAAGAAGTTGACACAGACTCTTTCTGCTTTTGATGGAATTGACCTGATTAGCCCATAGTCTTGTAATCTCGAAGTCAAGAGTTGGGTTTTCCTTCTTACTCTCGAATGTATGACTTCATCAGATGGGTGGTATATTCAACATTAAAATGGAAAATAAATAGACAATGAAATAATAGAGTTAAAGCCACGCCGGCGCCTCCTAAGACTGTAGAGAATGTAGAAGAAGCGATGTTCTTCACAGCCACCATCATCCATCATCCAAACATTTAAAAGCTCTCCGTCTTTCCACATAATCTTCTCCTTCCCCCCTCCACCAACGCACCATCCGGCTTTAACCATACTGCTGCCTCAACGGCAACTTCCTATCAAGCGTATGGAAAGCCTGCGTCCTGGGCGTGTACGGCACGACCCCGACCCGCGGACTCGCCGGCCCGCCTTTGGCATGCCAATCCCTCATCTCCCACTCCCTCCCCTCCTTCGCATAATCCACCGGCGAGCTGCCGTCGCTGCTTCCCCTGCCATCATCGTCCTCGTCGCCGTCGACTTTGTCGCCCGCGTTCGGCCACAGCACGTACAGCGCGATGCCCAAGTTGGCGAGGTAGAGCGCGAGCATGTAGACCGTGACGGCAAAGGTGCCCTTTGCGAGCTGGCAGCTCTTGTAGGCGCTAAAGGGGCGGGCGTAGTCGCACGACTTTGCGATGTACCAGGCGATCGAGGACGGGTAGCGCGGGTCGGCGTGGTCGGGTCCCATTTGGCCGTAGACGGAGACGGTGTAGAGGGCGACCATGGCGACGTTGATGCCGGCGGCGAGGAGGGGGAACCAGAACTTCATGATGAAGGCGACGAGTTTGGTGAGGAGGAGGAAGAGGGTGATTACCGAGATGGCGACGTTGAAGTCTGTGAGTCTGTGATTTCAAAAGGTTTAGCTGTGATGGTCCTTTGGTAGAAGGGAACAGAAGATGGCGAGGACTCACGTTCGTGTCCATACAAAGGGGACCTTGGGGTACGGCTCATAGTTCGCGTAGGCGTAGAGAATCATCTTTGGGTTCGAGTTGAAGCCGTAGGCGTGCCCGACCTCCCAGAGCTTGGTCCGGTAGAGGTCCGGCTGCGCGATGCCGAAGAGAACGAGGAGCGGGACGAGGCCGGCCAGCTCCAGCGGCATGAGCGTCCACATCCATTTCCGCAGCAGCCATTTCCTGTGCAAGATCTTGTACGTCATCTTTCCTTCCTCTCCTTCTGCTCTCCTCCGTTTCTTATCGTGTATGCGTGTTTGATGAGAGGTGTGTCAATGCCCGTGTCGCCTGAGGGGGGGGGTTTGTCCTCTTAATGAAGTCGTTGGGTTGTAACTCTCTCCCCTCTCTGTGCCTCTCTTTGCCAAGACTTTTGGGGGTTTAAAGTGAGTTCCTTGTATTCCTAGGCGCGGTTGTTCGCCAAAGCAAACAATGGGGTTTCACATTGGCCAAGTACCCAGCACTCGAACGCAATGAGAAGAAGCTCGCGATCAGACTTGCGGGATTCGAGCTTTGCTGTCGTCTTTGTCGTTTCGACAAGAGGTCGAATCTTCAATAAGAGTGAAGAGTGAGAAAAGGGGACCAAGAGTAAAGAATGAGCCTCTCAATGGGTCGGATGGGGGCAGGGTGACAGTTTAAGGGCCATATCTCCCTCCCTTCTGCAGGTCAAACCATTCGCCGCCGCCCATTTGCTCCATTCATTCATCGCCATTCACCTATCCAAGGAGGGGGGCCAGGCGGGCGGGTGGCCGGGTAAGCTCAGGGCAATGGGGGTTGAAAGGGCCGCTGAGCTGCATGTGCCGTGGTTGACCGACGGTGCGCCGTCACAACGGGGAGGTCCAATGAGGAGCGGAGGTGATGAGGGATGCTAAGCGCCGAGTTCGAGAGGGGCCGTTCAATTGGTCGGCCCCCGTGCGGATGAGCCAATGGGGGCGGCAAGATGCGACGTTGCGCACAATACCCGCCTCAATGAGAGCAGGGGGGAGGGGGGCTTCGGGGGCCACTGCTGTTGCAGTATTGAATGCCAATAGGATTGGCCGGTGAATGGGAGGTTGGTTGGCCATGTTGGATTGCACATAATTACTGCAGTACGGACTACGGAGTAGGTGGGTGAGCAAGGTGAGATCAGCTTGTTCGTGCCATGCTGGTGCGATGCAACAGCAGATGCGGCAGGATACCAGCAAGAAAAGTCAGCAAACTTGTCCTTCTTTCTGCAGAAGACACACGACGATGGATGCTTCATATCCCGGAGGTTGAAACCAACAACGTGATTATGATGATGCTAGAACCGCGCATGGGGTCCATGATGATAAGCGCCCGTTGGGCACATCTTCCCACGATACCCGGATCCGAGAAGCCGGCACCGTACTGGCACGTTGAGGAGTGCCTTGATACCCCAGCTCAGGTAAGGATCGACTGACGACCAAATACCTTAGGAGGCAATCGGCTGGATTAACCATCAACCCGAGCAGGCCGCATTCTGATGACCATCCACAATGTATGCCTGCCAGCAAGTGTGGCGAAACCCCAAGCAGGCAGTATGCACTACATACTACATGCATTCGCTTGTTCAGCCGGTGTGCTGGTCGGCCGAAAATAAGCCTCTATTCTGGCTCTGGTGGTGATCGGAGGAGTGTAAGACAAGGCTGGAGTGCAGTCGTACAAGTGGGTGCATCCCACGCTTGCGGGCTTTTTTGAGCTTATGTGAGCGACCATCTGATCTGCCGGCAGTGAAAGGATGCGGTTGCCAAAGAGATATTAATAGAGGGGCAGAGAGGGATGGGAAAGTACCACGAGAACCAAAATGCGATTTTGGGGCCGACATGTTCTTCAATCCTTAGTCTTGGCCGTGAACGTGTATTGCCACTGTCTATCAACGTCGATCGTGTCGTTTGACTTAAATCCGAGTCTCTAGTAGAGTTTGAGCTGTCAAACTAGACTTGACAAGCGTGCACGCAGATCAGTCGGACGAACCATGCGACCCGCTCAACCACTACGTATGCTCGCCAACAGCCACAAATGCCAGGTCTTTGCAACGTGAACTGCGGCGATCCGTATATCTGGCTGCCTGACAACAAAGTCGGACCGCTGAAAGACAAGTATTGTGTCTACTAACGGATAGCTGCGTCACTGATAGGTAGATGATCGGATTATCCGCGAAACTAAACTCGGCCGGAGCCGATGGCGCCTTGTCGCTGGATCGGAAATGAGAATCCCATGCGTACAGAGGGAGGTTGGAAACGAGACAATGTTCCTCGCGATGGACCAGAGCACATCTCCTTCTCTTGATGCGAGGAATGCTGCATATTTCACATCGGGATTGTGATCCCCGCAACTCCGACTGGCATTGAAAGGTAATTGAGACCGTGAGACCGGGAGACCATTTCTCCTTGCGTCATGACCAACGGAACCAAACCGTTCGATGATACAAATGATCAGGTATTTGCAACCCGCGACTATCAAATACGGTGTCGAAAATGACTGGCCTGCTGAGGTTGCACAAAGTTCCGCTGGATTCGTGGCATGCGTTGTTGAGGATCAGGAGACAACGATAAGTCCGATGTTCGACTATTTTTGAACAACGCAAATCCAAAGACTAGACATGAACCTCGCTGTCTAGTAGTTTTGCGAGTGACTTAGGGATGTGAGCGATTGGTTGGTCATTGAGCGAGTATCGCGGACCGTATAACGGGATAAATCGTCCGGAGGGTTTATAAGCATTCCTTCCTGGCGGAACATCCAATGGGAGGGCCGACCGAGAGCAGTAACATTTTACGTGGCAGGGATACAGGTCGGGAATAAGGCGTATGAGATGGATGGAGGAAAGACACCCTCTGTCACCATACATCTTGACCGAGACAAGGTTGCGAGAGCTATTGAACGGGAAGGGGTCCCGCGCAGGTTCGAAAGCATAGTGCATTCTCCCTGGCTGGGAATGTAGTCTTGTATCCCTTCACCGACAGTCGCGACTCGGGGCGGTGCCCGGATCCGAGGTGAGACTTGGAGAGTCTGAAATCCAACGTTGCCTCGTACGGGGAACAATGTGCGACAGTATCACGGCCCACGGCCTCACGGTTTTTGATCTTCTTGGCGCCAAGGAGATAGCAAAGCCCTTGAACCACCCTGCAAGGCGATCAACACTATGGGTTCAGTGGTTCAGTCGCGAGTATGTAAGCCACATCTCTGCTTGTCTGGTTCGAGAAAGTATTTCGCGATGACGGAATGCGAAGCCAAGTGCCGGGACAGTTGCTAAATGTATAGCCCAGCCAGCCTAGTCTTCCGCACGGAGCCCGGAACAGACAACAGTAGGCCGGCGTCATCGTATGATGACTGCTTTGGGGTAACAGCGGCGTCACTGCTATGGACGCAGGAGATGCACTAGGCGCGAGGTATCTGCATGAGGAGAATACGGATAGAGGCGCTACTATCTCGTCCTTTTTCTCCCGAATCGCTTGAGGACGAGGAAGGTGTCTTGGTCGAAGGCAGTTGGCGCATAGATTGATACAGTATTCCAGGCTGTGTTCTTTTGCTTGTTCTTTTGCCAGGTGGTGCCTCGTCTCTGGGGTAGGGATATCAACATTCGAAAGTAACGCCCGGATGCGAACAGCAACTGAGACAGATTGAAAGACCCATGTCGCAAAGCTGCTAAACGTTGATCTGCGGGCTGGCGTTGGAGAGGGCAATAGGTTGGCACCTATTCGAAGGTAGGCATCCGTAGTTGGATGTTGACATGTCAAAATGTGAGATTCACACTTTTGGGATGTTGCGGCGGTCAGGCTGGGGGTCACGGAGCCGCAGCATTCAAAAAGGAAATGAAGACTTAACGACTGGAGGAGCCTGCTTCTGCATCTACGTCTGCAAGCCAACGACGTGGAAGTTGACACTCGTGAGTGAGCTGTGACTGCTTCCTGACAAGAGACTGACAGAACTGACAGGAGCTTCCTTCCGGATTGGGGCCAATGAGAATGGCAGGTGACGATCATCGATCGGCGAGCTCGGAGTGGGGGCGACCACGGTCTGGACTGCGCCAGTTCGAGACCGACAGGGGAGAGCGGATGACCAGGGCTCTTTCCCTTCTGGTACGGATCCATTACATGGTCAGGTACCCAAGTACTAAGCGGAACCCTGCCCTGCCCTGGGACGTGTGGAGTGGAGCTCCCTCTCGGATCCATTGATCCATTGATCCAATCCCAATGCTTGGCTCGTTGTTGGCTCTTTCCCATCCAGACATTTCGAAGCCATCCGTCGGGTTCGCTTTGCTGCATCTACGCCGTTGCTGACGACGGCGCAACCTTTCGGCTAGGCTTGTGGAATGTTCAAAACCCTCTTCTTTGATTGAATGCGAGAGACATCCTACCTTGAGCACACACACGGTTTATCTTGGGCATGCACCAGATTGACTCGGACTGACGTATGCCCTCTGCCAAGTGCTGGGCGTCACGGAAAGTTCGGCGGGTACCTGGCTTGCCGCTTGAGAAGCTATCTTGATACAAGCGCTAGTCGCCGTCTTCAGCTTTCATTCTTTCTCGTCATCCAGTAATGGATGGGTAATGACAGGGAATAACGGCATAGCATGGCAGTTGCGCGGGATATGCAGGCAGCCCGCAGAACTACGGGGCGAAGCGAGAAGCCGCGAGGACAGAAGCGGACGGATCTTTGGGTCTGTTTGCTCTTGAAATGTGCGCCGTGTTGGTTTCTTTCTTGTCATCGCTTCCTGTTTCGTTTCCAGATGACTCAAAAGAAGCTGCGCCTGTCTGCTAGGATGCATTCCTATGAGGTGGAGTGGGTGAAAAGAGCGAGATACGCGAGCCGTTGCCCGGCCTTGTGGAGAGATGAAGAAGATCATTTGGCCGGCGCAAGTTGTCTCCAAGTTGCATTGGCAACATGTTTACTGTGTATGCCGAGCCATTAGAGATCTGCACAAGATATTAACATCTTGTGTATCTGTAAAGGTGTTGTAAATCTCCAATTCTCCATACGTGGAATGACCAACTGAGGTGGGCCAAGCTTGGGCCTTTTGGTGGACAACGAAACCTTACCTAACTGCGTAGGCTTTATTAGGGCCGTGGAGATACGAAGACAGCAGATTACTCACGATTTGACTTGTACCTGTCTTGGAAGATAATCGGACACTGCCGGTGATACCTAGTTGTGAAGTTCCAATGGTAAGAAAAGGTCACCGAGTTACGGCTGGGTTGGCGATTGGCATGAGGTAAAGCAGATGAAGTTGGCTAGGTCGTCTGATGCCTGGTGTGGAACTGGGAGTGTCCATGTCTGGAAGCAGCAAAGCCAAGGTTGGGAGCAATGTCTTGGCCAAGGCGCAGAACCCAAGAAGTCCAGAGATTCTAGACCGGGTCCAAAATACCACGCTGCCGTCCAGTCCATCCACAATGCCACCACCACCACCACCCCCAGGCCCCAGCTGTGCGGCGTGCCTGCAGTGCGGTCCACGGGCTACCTATGGAGTGCGGATACCAGCCGACAGCTCCGCCCCCAGTCCTAGTCTCCGCCAGAGCCTTCATCCCATCCGCCCTTTCTTTTTGATTCCTCACACCCATTTTAGGTTGTTCCTCACATGTGCAGAGAGAGGGCTGCCTGTGTGAGCGCAACGGGCGAGCTTGTATATACACCGGCACACAACTCGCGTCTTGTCATTGCTGGGTGGCACCGCTAGTCCATTGGGATCGAGGAGCCTTCATTCTTCACGTCAACTGATGCTTCCGTCAGTGCTGTTGACGACTGGGCTACCTTACTCACTTACTCAGGAAAGAAGACAAGATGAGATGCATAGATGGACATGGAGCATGCGTGTGTGTGCATATATGTATTTGCCAGTGTCAAGAGCGATGGAAGGAAGTGAGTGGAAAGGTAAAGTAGTGAGACGAAGCAAATGACATTATCGGATACATCAATTCTGGTGGCTTGTGGTAGTAGTGTAGCTAAGGTACGGAAATATGCGATGCCGATCGTACCTACCTACCTACCGTACCTACCTATCAAGAGAGAAAGCAAAGGGAAGGAAGGACGGGAGAGGACGACCTCGAGTTGGGAAGAATGAACGGGAAGGAAGGAATTCCGCAGCGGGATAGCCCCGTTGGAAGGAAGGCACGAAGTACGCAGCAGGTATCAAGGGTACAGTTCCCATTTGTTTGATAATTCCACCTCATGGTCACTTCTCGTCATGCATTTCCAATTCTTGTCCAATTCGCTTCCGAGTTCCCAGTCCCAAACTCCCACGTCTTTTTTTCTCTCTTTTCTTTTTCTGGTCCCTTCCACAGCCCCCGAGCCCCCAATCTGCCATACCGCCTCGGCCTTCGAATTACCTTAGTTTGTTACCTGACGGATACTCACAGCCTGACCAGACCAGACCCCCAGTTGCACATCATCCCCATTTCTGTCACTGCCAGCTGCCAAGAAAGGAGCCGACGTACATACATTCGTCCTTCTGCAAGGTCCTCTGCAGTTTGTTGGACTTCTAGACTCTCCCACCTCACACGTTAGATCCATTCGCATAATCATGCCCGCCCACCTACAGTAATAGTTACTAGTAGTCCACCCCCCGGCGCCATATCTCAGCTTTTTTTTCGCGGGACCATTCCAATCCGGTCCAAGTCCCAAAGGTCCTAAACCGGACCAAAGCACGAGAGAAGAAGGACAGACGGTTCCCCAAACATTAACCAATACACGGCGTGCCCTCGCACTGACTCCTCTTTCGACATCGAGATTCCCATTCCGCCTTTCTGTACCATCTCTCGATTCCATCCTACGTCCTCGATCTCCACGTACATCTTCTTACCTATCCACCGCTCCAACCATCGGAAACACAATCAATCACCTTAACGCAGCATCGCAGAGCAGTCCAGTCAGCACCTAGCAGCAGGCCACCAGACCAGACCAGCAGAGCACACCTCGGAGCCATCGCATCGTCAGCCGCTCGCTCGCCTTACGCCTCACTCACACCTCAAGTCGTCTTCAACGGGCCGCCTGCCTACCTTTACCGCTCCGACCTCTACGGGCTTGACCTTGCTTTCTCGTCTTGCGGCTTGCCGCAATCTGACCAGAACTGCACGAAGCACGTTTACCTTCGTAGCCACGCCTTGCAGCAGCAGCAGCAGCAGCACCAGTTCCCCTTCGCTGTGCTTAAGTTCCAGTAGCTTCAGAACCATCACATTCGCCCGTGCCATCATCTCACACACCGCACCTCGTGTGTGGTGTAGATTGCAGGTACACCCTGGATCGCATTCGACCTCATCCTGGTAATTCATCTCTTTCCTTCTACTCCCTTCTAGTCACGGCACTTGATCGTTTGCTTCTGCCGTCCCTTATGCCTTATGACACTCAACGGCGGCTGCCGTAGTGGTGGCACCCTCCCAAAGTTCGGACTGCCAGATTGACGATGACACGCTTTCGGAGTATTTTCCGGTTGACCATCCCACAACTTTGGGCTACTACCTACTCCGGCCGTCTCGTCTCTGTGGCTGCGATAGTGGCAGTCCCATTGTCGCCGTCCAAGTCCGACAAGTCATTATTGTCTCCTTTATTCGTATAGCCCTGCTGCTATCTGCCTACTTTGCTTTTATCTTGTATCGACCGCGTCGGGCCAAACCTTGCCTACCTATCCAGTTGACAGGACTCCGTACAGTCAGTCCCTACCTTACCTATGGAACCTTCGTCTCCAACCCCCAAAATCCCCATCACCCATCACCCCTAACTCACCTTGCCTACCCTATTCAGGCGCGCCCCGATCAAGCCCGCATGTTCCCAGTCACTCCCCTTCCCCGAATCCCAACCCAGGCGTCCGTCCCTTCCAGACTCTTTTTGCTGCAGGCCTTTCCCCTTCCTGTTCATGGCCCGGGCCCGTCAAACCCTCGCTCTATCTCGATCCCCCAATACCCGACTCGCTCGCCAACCACCTGTACCCCGGTTGCAAGGTCAGCTAGGGTAGCAAAGCACACAGCGCCCGTCTGGCCTGGCATCTCCCTGTCGGTGTTTTCTTTTCTTCTATTTTTCTTACCGCTAGCTCACTGCCCCCCTCCTCCTCTCTTCTATGGGAATACCCGAATTTCACTTACCTACGGATACCTACCTACCTTACCTGACTAAGGTAGCGTTGCCCGCCTAAGCCTTTCCCTTCCCGCGGCACCTGGGCTTAGGTTACCCTCACTCGCTCGCTCACCCGTGTCCTGCAAACTGCTGCTCCCGCTTCCCCCCGTGTCATCGTCCACTGTGTCTGTGCTTGCCGTGCGCCTTTCCTTCTGCACTTGCTTCACTCCCGTCTCCGCCGTCGCTAAAAAGGAATCATTTTAGTTTCGGCAGGGGAAGACATCCATAGAGAAGGAGGCCCGAGACGAAAATTTCTAGAACGGACCGACTCTCTCGGCCGCACCTCATCTTCACTCCCTCCCCCCGCGCATTCATGCCGCAGGGTGACGATCGCTTCCCCCAATCCACAATACGACTCCTCGCTCCCCCTTTGCCCTCGACACACCGACCCTACCACGCCCCCGGAAACATCACCACAACTCCGACCACGGCAACGAACCCGACGACGAGGACGACGACGGCCAGACCGACGACGGCGGACCCGTTCGCTACCGTTTCCACCACCGCCGCCGCGAAACCCGAGGCTTCTACAGCCGCCGTATCTTCTTCTTCTTCCAACACGAACGTCAACCACAAGCGATCGGGTTCACAGCCGCAGTCAAGTAACCCACGTTACCATCCCGCCTCGCCCACCTCGACGACATTGAGCCCCGGAGGGTCATGGACAACTCCCGACATTAGTCGGTATGGTTTGACGTATAGCGACACTACTTGCGATCCCTCATTCGACGCCGCGTCTAAGACGCTCCTGACCCCCAGGTCGGACCCGACCTCTCCGACTATCAGGTCGTTTACAGAATCTACCCATCTGTCGAGACCTTCAACGTCCAACGGGAAGCGCCTGTCCGACGACGAAAACGCACACGAACGACCAAACCCGTCACCTCTGAAGAAGGCGCGAACTCGACTGGGGCCACCAGGGCACATTAAGCTGCCAAAACAACCAACTGCGTCAGTCATTCTGGCTAGGCACAACCAAGGGGTCGTCTCCCCTCTGTTCTTCTCCTCAAACAACAAACGACAGATGCCGCCTCGACCAGCTGCTCTCCCTCCCTCCGACGCTGCAGCCGTCCTGCTAGCTCGTCTGAGGGAGGACCAAGACCGCGTTCACACTGTTCGCCTACCCCGCGGAACCGTTCATGCACAAACATCAGCAAGATCTGGGAGTACGCCGGGGAGCAGTAGTCTATCTTCTGCAGACGCCACCCTAACCTCTTCAAAGAGCCCAAATAGCCAGCATCTTCCTCAAGGACTGCAAATTTTGAGAGGAGTTGGCGTGATCGAACTTTTGGAACAGGATGAGCGTCCAACCTTCATCATCGATCTCGCAAATCCCGTCAACGCGCAAAAAACGGGACTGCATTTGCTATACGCCAATGCGGCGCTCAGGGCTTCCGTGGGTGTCTTGGAATTGCTTTCTGTGGAGGGTGACGATGTCATGAAGAACCCCGACTATATCAACTTCAAAACGTGGGCCACGAGCTTCGTCTTGAACCATGAATCCCTTGACGTCTGCCTTCCTTCTCACAGCTATGGTGGCATCACATGGACATGCTCAACCTTGCGCAAACGATTTCGCTTCGTGAGCGGCAACGCTAGCGCCGTATCAGCACCAGCAGACTCGCCTCCGTTAGCCAAAGAATCAGCGGTGCTGGAACAGCGGAGTAGAGGGCCGACACCAAATCAGCCATCAATTGTACCCATGGATGACGAACCCGATTACTTTGGTGATATGGAAGGGGAGCCGCATGAGCTGGGCGATACACCAATTGTCGTTGACGATTGTGTGATGATAGACAGTGGTGAGAAGTACCACACTGACGAGTTCACCCAACAGGTCTTCCAAGCAGCGATGATGAGGCCATCGTTTGACTGGACCCGCATTCAAACAACCCCGGATTTGAGTGAACATATCCTATTCTGTCGCAACACCGATTGGGCCTCCACATCATTGGGTCCGTTGGAGCACTGGAGTTCAGAATTGAGGGCCATGGCCAACATGGTTATGGGTAGTCCCCACCCTGCGGCCATGTACTGGGGACGGGACAATGTCGCCATCTACAATGAGGCCTACATTGAGCTTGCCGGACAAAAGCACCCTCAACTCATGGGCATGCGGTATCAGGACGCATGGAAAGAGATCTGGTCGGATATCGAGCCTTTGTTCAATAATGCTTGGATAAATGGGCAGTCAATCATGAAGAACGACAACCAGCTATTCATCCTTCGACACGGATTCCTCGAGGAGACGTTTTTTTCATGGTCAATCATCCCATTACTGGGTTCTGATGGCCAGGTGGTCGGACTCTACAATCCGGCTTTCGAAAATACCCGCCGCAAGGTCAACGAACGCCGGATGTTGACTTTGCGAGAGGTGGGCGAGAAGACAGCTGCTGCTAAGGACGTCAGAAGCTTCTGGCCGCGGGTCAAGGATGGATTGGAGTTCAACGACTTGGACGTACCGTTTGCCCTCATTTACTCCGTGAAGGAAGACAATAGCGAGAGTGAAGTATCTTCTATGCACTCTGGAAGCATAGCACACCCACCATTATTACACCTCGAGGGCAGCTTGGGCGTTCCAGAGGGACACCCAGCTGGGCTACCCCAGCTCGACCTAAAGTCATCAGACGATGGCTTCGCTCCCTATATGCGCCAGTCTATGACGATGCAAGGTGCACCCATCATTCTCTCGTCGGAAGCTGGCAACCTGCCAGCAAAGTTACTTGAAGGCTTGGAGTGGCGAGGCTTCGGTGACCCAAGTAGGACTATCGTTATCTTGCCTGTCCACCCT